GGGCGCGGGGCTGGCCGGGCTCCGCCGCGGCATCTGTTCGCGGTGCTGAAACCCGGACCGCTGAGCTCAGCGCAACTAAGTCACAATGGACAACTTTTCCTCCTTGGAGGGGGGGCGAGGGGGGTCGGCGCCCGCGCCCCCCTCCCGATCGCGGGAGCTTCTTACGGGTCTTCTTCTATCCCTAAGGCCCAGATACCAAAGTTGGGCAGATCCAAGAGGGGGGGTCCTGGGGGCGCCTTTCTTTTGTTCCCCGGGAGCTGGCGTCAGGTTCCAAGAATAAAAAGTGAAGCCGGCGAAGTGGTTGGGATCGGGCGCCCAGAGGAAGGGCTTTTTGAAAAAAGGGTTTGCGTGGAACCCACAGATTGCTTCCCAGGAGCGCAGCATCCAGGCCCAAACCGCCGGGCCCCCGCCCCCACTCCTACCCAGCGTAAGGCCCGGAAAATCTCCACGTTCCCAAAACCATGGTCACCAACTCAAGATGGACGCCGGCGCCGCGCCTTCGAGGTGCAGCCTGTCCCTCTCGGCCACTGCTGGGGCCCCGTGCTCCCTCCCCCTCCCCCGCCGCTACCATCGGGCTCTTTCTTTGCAGGCAGGGAGGACAGGACGGTAACTTTGAGGACCGGAACCAGACCTCCAGGGGAGTTTTCACGGGGAGTGCCCATGCTGGTACTTTTTAGGGTTCTGCCACAGTGCCCGGCGACCCCTCCAAGGCCCTGGCCTTGGGACTGTGGGGGCGGGGGGGGGCACAGACCCCTCGCTTACTTGTTTATCGCTGAGCGCTGCGATCCGCGGCTGCCTTTCGTGGAGCTGCTTCTTGAGGTCGCCGTTCTGCAGAAACAGAAGAGCAAGCTGAAGCTGGGGTGCGGGAGGGAGTCCGGTGCGCCCCAAGTTTCCCGGCCGCGTCCCGCACGCGCGCACGGCAGCCGGGCAGTGCCGCTTACCTGTGGCTGCCGCCTCATCGGGGCGCCTCGCGGGGCGGGGCGGGGGCGCAAGCCACCCGGCGGCGCGCCCCGAGCCGTGCAAGTGCGCAGGCCGGGGTGCGTGTGCACGAGTGTGAGTGTGAGTGTGTGCCAGGGGAGGGGGGAGGAACAAAGAGCCAAGTAAACACGGCGAGTCCGTGTCGAGCAAAGCTCATAAATATTCAAGTCGCGTCCTAATCTCCCAACACACACACACACACGCGCGCGCGCGCGCACATACACGCGCACACACACACACACACACACACACACTCGCGCGCGCCGCAACACCGCTCGAGCTCCGGGCGCTACGCCGCCGCCACCCGCCCGGCAACCGTCGCCAAAACTACTTTGCAGGAGCGCTAGGTGCGCGGGCGTGGGGACCGTAGGGGGCTGTCCATGCTCCCCTCTCGGGGACAGCTCCCGCGGGGCCCCTTTGCGCAACCCAAGCGCTCAGCGCAGACCCCCGCAACTAAGACCTCAAGAGCAGGGCTCGAGTCCCACGAAACCCCGACCCCACCGTGCAGGATAGCGGGCAGGAGCGCAGGGAACACGGGGTGCGTGCTGAGCATACTTCCCCGACCCCGGGAGGCGGTAGGAGTGGGGCGCCAGCCCCAGAAACCCCGCGATCCAGGAAGCGAAGACGTGGGGCTCGGGGCTCTGGAGCTCCCTTCCTCAGTCCCCTCCCCGACCCAGACACCCCCACTCAGCCACATACCTGGTGGCGCGAGAGTTCCACGGCGAGCGTCTCAGGCCGGCTCTGCAGCTCCATCCCAGGAACTTGGGCAGCACTTTGCGCGCACTTTGGCCCCGGCTCCCAGGAAGTTGTGCGGCTCGGTGGGGGGACGAGCCCGGCGGGGGTGAACCGGGACTCCTTGGCGGTTGGGGTACCGAGCCCTCTCTTCCACGGCCGAGTAGGACGGGGCTGGCGAAGGGTAAGAAAGGAGGCCAGGCGCCAAGCCCGGGTCACCCCAACTCCTCAGGCTGCCCGGCGAGTTGCACCGGGTCCCCGGGCTGCGGGCGCGGCCTGGCGCATGGCCCCCCGGCGCCCGCAGCCCCGCGCAACCCGCGCGCGCCCCGCCGCCGGCAGGGACTATATTTCCTCCGGCGCGCGCGCCTGGATCTCGCTGGGCCTCGGCAAAGTTGTGCCACGGCACGATGCTAATTCGGCAGTGCCCGGATGGAGCGGGCCGGGGCGGCAGGGGGCGGGGCCGGGGTCCACCGTTCGCCCCGCCCATCTCCCGCCCCGCCCCACCCGCGCATGCGCACTCCGCCACTCCGCGGCCGGGAGCCCGAAGCGGAGAACAAAAGTGTCCGCGTAGGGGGGCGCGAAATCCGGACCTGCTCGGCCAGTGAGTGCCCACGACGTCCACCTCTGCGTCCGCAGCCGATCCCCAAGAGAACGGGGTACCTCTTCCCCCACTGCCTGGGCGCCCCGCTGGACTCCGAGGCCAAGGACACTTTGCCATAGAAGGACCGCTGACCCTTTTTCCCTGTCTTCTCTCCTGTCGCTCTCTGCGCCCTTTCTTCCTTTGCCCCCTCTTCTGTTTCCTTTTCATCATCTTCTATCCTCTCCTGACTCAGTACGGAGCGCTTCGACTTGGGACACAAAATTAGTCTTGTCGCTAGAGTCCCCCGCCGCCTGATGGCCACCGTGTTGCTTAAACAGTATGAAAATTGATCTCTCGGCTGTTCCTTTAATGACTTTTTTACACTCACAATTAAACTCTCAACAGATGTCACCGGACTTTTTAAGACAGTTGTTAAAAAACGTAAACATGCCCGGTCAACGTGACATAAAACAATTATAGCTACAGCTGCAGAGATCACATTTCAGTACTCTTAGCCCCACCACCAGGAGGCTAAGGAGTCCGTATCGCTGTCCCGGAGTTGCTACGGTGGGAGACAGTTCTCTGTGCCCTGTTGGAAGCACACTGGTGTGTTTGAAAGACGCTGGGAGAAAGAGTGTGATCCAATTTCAAAGTAAGTGTCTGAACTGATAAATTCTATCTTCGTGTACCTCCTGAGCGTAAAAGATGCCTTGGCATGTGCACCCCTTCAGCAGAGGCCAGCATAGTAGACCTCTCTCTGCTGTCACAGGAATCAGTGGAACCCCCAAGCCCACAGTGATGGTCATTGGTCCACAAAATTAATGGAGTTCTCCAAATATGAAGAAAGGGCCCCTTATCCTTTCCCAGTACCTAGGCTTTAGGAAGCGCTCAGTAGCTTTGTTACCGGATGCAAAAGGAACACATGTTCTAGGTGGTTATGATCCATTTAGTGTTTGACGGACATGCAAAACAGAAAGACTGAGGCCAGGAGCTTGAGAGGGCTCCAGCTCCTCCCACTTCTGGGGTCTGCCCAGCTTCTGGTGGTGTCTCCCTCCGCTTCCTGTTTTTTTGGTTTAGTTTTGTGTCTGCTGCAGTCCTGGGGATGGAGGGCAGGACCTCTCACATCCCAGGCCTGCACTCTGCTGCTGAGTAGTGCTTTTGCAGGACTGGACCCCAGCCTAGGAAAGTAGTGGTCTGCCCTGGGGACAGAGAGAGCTCCTGCATGCGAAAAGAATTTCTACTGTAACCTCTGTAAATGTCACTGGCATTTTGGTAAAGCTTCAGGATAATTTCATCATTGGCCATGTATGGTGATTAAATCCAGAGAGGACATTGCAGTCGTCACTGACCCCCCACACGGACTCCCAGATGCTGGCTAGAGGAGGAGAGTAGCTATAGGTGGAGACTTTAAAGCCTCCTTTGCAAGTTTCTGTTAACTTGTGTGGATTTCAGTGATGATCATCTACCCACCCTGTTTTTTCTGTTACTGTATCACCTACTTCCTGCATGAGCAACCCAGGTTCCTGGTTGGAGCAACCCTGGAAGGAGTCCTGAGCCCCTGCCCTCCAGGCTTCTCTGTCTTACCCTGGGCTGTACCTTCCCTGTGAAATGCCCTGTCCCTTGTCACCCACTTAAAAAAATCCTTTTCCTCCAGAATTCATTTCAAATGCTTTTTGGGAGAAACTTCCCCTCACTTCTACATGAAAATTCTTTATCCCTCCCCTGGAGGCCACCAGGCAGCCCTGACTTAGCAGTGGGGCCATGCGTCTTCTGATGAAGGGGATCATTTCCTGCCCCAGTGGGCTGAGCCCTCTGGAGTCTGGGCTGTGGCAGAACGCAGGGTAGTGTGTTAAAGGAGGTGTGGCGCAGGGAGGAACCAGGTGGTGAGGGAGGGAGTGAACCAGGCTGTGAGTGAACCAAGGGAGGCTGAGAGTTGCATTCTGTCGAGGAACAGCGGGGTGCAGTGTGGGTAACGGGCACAGACATGAAGGTGCCGAAGGTTAGTTCCAGCTCCCACTTTCCTGCTCAGCCGCATCCTGGTCAAGTGGAAAGGGTGAGATCTGAGACCTGAGCAGCCTCCTGACCTTGGGCATGTTCCTCCGCTCTCTTAGCCTCCGATTCCTCGATCGTGCAACCAAGATCCACTAAGCTCCTCCTGCCCCCGACCTTGGACAGCCTCAGTTGTCCTACCTATCTGGCTGGACTTGCCTGTTGGGAAGGTCCGGCCCTCAACCCGGCCTCTAACTTAGGGAGATTTTTGTGGGCACTGGCGCCCAGATGGGACCAGGAAGGGCCCGGCCACTCCCCTCGCTGGCTTATGAGTGAGAGGTTGCACCCCAGCTCGGCTCTGGCCTCCAGTGGCCACCCCAGGGATCGAATAGCAGCATAGAGACCCAGGGGCTTGATATGACATAGTATGTGAACTTGGACCACCTAGAAACAGGATTCAGGCAGGAGCCAGCAAGGCAGTGTCTCTCCTTCCCGGGACTGACTGGAGTGGCCCAGGCAGCCTGGAACACTCCCTGTGTCCCTGTCCCTAGCAATCAGCTGTCCCCTGAAGCTGTCCTAACTCCCTGGCTCACCCTTGCTGGCCCAGTACTGGTTGCACCTCAGATAGATTCAAGCTTTCTTTTGCCTGTTCTCTATGGAACACCTGGCTGAAATGGGGGAACAGGAAGCTCTCCTCTCACAGGTTTTCAGCAGCGTTTATGAGCTACGGTCCACAGAGGCGCTTGATGGGCTGGGAAGACCAAGTTCAAATGAGCATTCTCAGGCTAAAAACTGGGTTTTCAGTTTCTCACAACATGAAAGGCCAAGGTGAACCATGAGAAAGGACCCCAAAGCCACACAGCAAGCATGGATTCGCACCTATGGATACAAGCCTTCCAGGGCTCAGGTTCCTGGGGTAGTGAGGGATCCTGCAGAGAATCAGATGTGGGAAACCTCATTCAGAAGCCCTGTATTAAAAAGAGCACCCTCAAAGGGACAGCATGTAGGAGGGGAGGGGTCTGAGAGGTGCCAGTCACGCAATGATGGGAGCAGAGCCTTGCAAAAATCATAACACTTTGTCCCAAGTGTACCTCACACCCACAAAGCATCAGCCCTCTGCATTATCTCATGGACCAGCAAGGCCAGCTCAGAGGTCTGGAACTCCCACTGTACAGGTCAGAAAATGGATGCTCAGGGCACGAGATGATTTAATGGGGCTGAGTGCACAGACTAAAGTTGAAGATACCAGGACGTAGATTTAGGCTCTCCCACTGTGGGCCTGGGGGACCCTGCACAAGTGACCAGAGATGAATTGGTTTCCAATGATGGAAAAGGAATTCTGGTTGAGGAAACAGCAGAACCCAAGGTCCTGAGGTTGGCTGTAGCAGGGACCTCTGGGGACCTATGATGTGTCACTGGTGGAGAGAAACAGGACAGAAATGATGTTGTATCAGATCCCAAAGGCCTACAATGCCATGCTGGATTTTTAAGTGTGTTATCTGAGCAGGGAACCAGACAAAGGTGTGTACACTGGTTCCCGCCCAGAGAAACCAGAAAAGGTATCAGGAGGACCGTGAATGTGTACCTCAGCAGGGGTACAAGTCTGACCCTGTGTAACTGCTATGGGTGCCATTCACTGAGCACCTTCCCTCTTCCTTCTGTAGAAAGTGTCCTCTATGTCATTCAGTCCCGTGGAGGTGGGTGTGATTATCCATACTTTACAGATTGGAAAACCAAGGCCCAAAATGATTCTGTGACTCTCCCAGGCAGCATGGCTATAATTGGGGCACTGCACCTGTCAGGAGCCTCTCGCCCTGAGCCTGGATGGGTTATGTGGCCAGCCAGCTGTGGGCATGGAGTGGAGTTCACCCAACTCCAGAGCCTGCCCTCTTCCCAATGCTCCACCTTGTTGTCTGTCTGTACTCTTGGTCCAAGCAGTGGCTGAGGTCAGGGTGGCCCAATCCTGAGCCTGAGATGCTGGAGTAGGGGTGTCAGGGTCCCACCTGGACAAGCCACCTTGGCAGCATTGAGGACTATCACTCTCCCTATGAAATGGGAGGCTGGGCCTGGGCAGCCCCTCACCCATCCACTCAGAGGCTGCACGGGTACTCGGGGTCCATCTGCCAGGCACCGGTGGCTCAGAGCTACAGCCCACCACCCTGGGCATCCCTGGAGGCCCCTGGCAACCTCCACTCAGTGGCCCCTGCTGAACAAAGCACCCCAAGGCAGCCGAGCACATGCGTTCTTGTCGTTCTCTGCTCTACCCTCCCTGCCCCTGTCAACCTCGTATAAAGGCAAGTGTCTTTGGGCTCCCTCTGGGTTCCAGGGACAGAGCTCCTACACCCCTGCACTTCCTGGTGGGAGTGACTTATTATTCACACCTGAGTTTATGCTATTGAGGTGACAGGAGGTGGGGCTTGGATGCCTCAGAATGGGGCCAGTCACCCGGAAGGGACCTGGCAGATGACCCACAGCCCAGCCTGACCTGGCCCCTTGGGAGGGAGAGCATGGGGAATGAGTGGCTGTCTCCACTCTTGGGTGCCTGCCCTGCCCAATTGGGCCTCTTCCTGCCCCCCAGGATGCGGATGAGATTACTCGCTGTTTCTAAAGGACTTTGAGAAAGCTTAGAGAAGCTGCACCCTGCCTGATTCTAGCCCCCAAGACTTTCCCCACCTCCTCCTGCCTCTTTCCTCTCCTTAGCTGTTCACCAGGATCCTGGAGTTTTCACAAATTCAAC